TGAAATCATGCTTTCCCTTGTCAACAACATCATCTGTAGGATTGCTCTGGGTAAGAGGTTTCAAGATGAAGTGTGTACAAGAAGTAGATTTCAAGACATGCTGCAAGAAGCACAGGCTTTGTTGGGTGGCTTCTATGTTGAGGATTACTTCCCATCCATTGGCTGGATAATCGATGTGCTAATTGGACAAACTTCTAGGCTTGAAAAGAATTTTAGAGAAATGGATGATTTCTATCAATCTGTCATCGATGAGCACCTAAATTCTGAGACACAGGAAGTGCTGGGCCATGAAGATATCATTCATGTCTTGCTTCAAATAAGAAAGGATGCAATTGGTGGAATTGACCTCACCATAGACCACATAAAGGCTGCCCTCATGGTCACCACTCATCACATATTTACTGCATATCCTCCTTTTTGTTTTTTTCTTCTTCTTTTTTTGCCTTTGGATGAGCATCTGTACATCAGATGATTTGTTTAACTGAAGTTTACATAATTTTCAATTATGCCTCCATTTCAGGATATTTTTGTTGCTGGAACTGATACAAGCACAGCAGCCCTTGTTTGGGGAATGACAGAGCTCATGAAGAACCCAAGAGTGATGAGAAAAGCTCAAGACGAAATTAGAAATGCAATTAGGAAGAAAAGAATGGTGGAAGAGAGTGATCTTGAACAGCTTCAATACCTCAGGGCAGTGGTGAAGGAGATCCTAAGAATGCACCCTCCTGGTCCATTGCTCGCTCCACGGGAAACCATGGAGGAATGTAAGATCAGTGGATATAACATTTTCCCTAAAACAAGGGTTATTGTGAGTCCATGGGCTATTGGAAGAGATCCTAAGTGTTGGGAAAACCCAGAAGAATTTTACCCAGAAAGGTTCATGGATGGTTCCATTGATTTTAAAGGACTCCATTTTGAACTTGTACCATTTGGAGCAGGCAGAAGGCATTGTCCTGGGATAAACCTTGGAGCAGCAATTGTGACTCTTGCACTCTCAAATATTCTCTACTCATTCGACTGGAAATTGCCTTGTGGAATGAACAAGGAAGATATCGACATGGAAGAGACACCTGGTCTCACTACTCACAAGAAATTGGCTCTTCACCTTGTTCCCATCTCATATAATCAGCACCTCTAGGCTCTAGGCTAGGCAGAAATATGAATTTGATCCCATTGGTATAATTGGGGCTTATTTTTATGTGTCAATAACAATCTATCGTGATGGAGAGTTGTTGATCTGAATGGAAATTGTAGTTTATTAGTCCTACTTTAACATGGTGTAAGACAATAGATTTACATAAATGGATATTTTGGGGCACAGTGGGGACCATGGATCCCTTGGGTCCCCCCTAGTTCCACCTTAATTTGATGGCAACCCTTCAATTAACTATCATGTATTGGATATGTTAAAATTATGAATATGCCCTTGTTACAAATGTGCATGGTGAAAACCATTCAATCTCTAGATTGCCTAAGTATGGTGTGCCTACTTACAAGGGAAATTTAAGTGCAATCCCAACTTGGTCTTTGTTGTTTACTTGATCAAGTGAACAATGAAGCCCACTTAAATCAAGTGAATCTCCTTTGTGGTGATAGTTTGGTAAACCTTTGTTCTAATAAAGTTTCTCATGAGCCAAAATGGGATTTTAAAACATTAAAAACTCTAAAACATTGCACTAGTGTGTCCCTTCAGCACAATTAATGGAATGGGTGTACTTGCATATTTATTGAAATATTAAGCGAGATTTTTTACAGAGGTCCAAGTACAGGGGAAATTGTGGTTTATTTTTGCCTTATAGTTGAGTTTGCCTTGTATATATGTGAGAAGTAAATAAGTAAAATGAACCAGTCCCCACTTTAATGGAAGAGAATGGAGATAGAAGGGTTTATTTGTTTGGAAGTGAGGTAGGAGAAAGGTGGTGCAAATTTTGCATTAGTTTTTAAAATGCAATATTTGTATTGTTAGTGAGTACAAATGAGAGAAAAGGTGCAAATTTCATGTCAGGTAGGAGTGCAAATCACAGTTTCTAACAAACAAATGCAAAAACTGAACCAAATGCAAAATTTATTGAGAAAAGGTAAGGTATAATGCATTACACAAAATAAAATAAGTACAAAGAAGGATCATTAGAACAGGCCTAGACCCAAGGGACCCACAAATAGAAAAGATTACTTCTTGCCTTTGTGCAAGGGTTTCCTATATCTGTTTCCCTCTCTACCCTCCTTTGCTAAGCTGCTTCCCTCTACTTCATATTCTTCCTATTGTTTCATGGTTAACGATGAGATATTGAAGATCAAGACTTTTTTCTGAATTATTTTAATATTGTTAAAGATAGGAGAGAGGATGCTTCCTATAAGTTGTGAGGTAAGGCTAAAGAGGTGGGGGAAGTAAGGGTGTTGGCTCTAGGACAAAGTAATGAGGAATTTTAGGGAATCAGAAGACTAGAATGCTAGGACTCTTGCAATGCTCTCGAGATTATCTCGTGTGTAGGACTTTGGGCCTCCCCCTTATTTATAGAGGGAAATGTGTGATTATAATAGGGAACAGGAAAATGACCAGAGGAAACGTTTTTGTCTTAGAAAGGCAGTTATAATTCATTGAATACATAAGCAGTAAATAGCTAGGGTTTCACCATGTGTCTATGAGAATCTCTTAGGATTAGGATTTCCTATCGTTAGAGTTCTCATGTGGACACTCTTATAGCAACAACCCTTTTCGAGAGCTTACTCATAATCACATGGGACGACACTCTATGTACAGGTGTGCCAAAGTTAATATGTGATATCACAAATCAACTGACATCATTTCTGCTTTAGTGGGTTCTATGGTGGTTACCTTTGCATTATTCCAACCCTCATTGTAGGTTTTGTGATGGCTATCTACATGTACTTACACTTCCTTCAGTAAAGAATGGAGATGTTCTCTCATGCATCTTTAGAGTCTCCACAAGTTGAAACCTAAAGGTTGCAAGGCTAAAAGAAATGATTTGAAAATCGTGGAAGGTCAAAGATTCAACTATTTTGGCTCCTTTCTAGTACAATTCCCTACAAGCTTGGATGACCAGATAATTGAAAAGGGACTATGGCTATTTGACAATGATCTTATTGTCACCTAGAAGGTGGAGAAAATACAAGTCCAAAACACTATAGTCTTCATCTTATAGAAATCTGATAACATCTATTGGGTCTCCTGATAGCTTATCTCAATATCAATGTGGATAAATGTATTGCGTTCATGGTTGGGGGCACCTCGCCTGGAGGCCTATGCCTCAAGGTGTTTTGGGGGCACCTCGCCGGGAGGCCCACGCCTTTTAAAACACTAATCCCAAAATGCTATGATATTTTGGAACTTTCCTATAGTTGCTCAGGAATCAAATCCTTCAAAGAAAGCAGGAGGGAAATGGAGTAGTAATGGGAAGTTCTCTATTAAGTCATTTGTTAATAACTTGTGATGATGTTTTTTAATTTTATTTTATACAAGGTCATGTGGAGATCTAATGCTTCATGAGTGGATTCTTACGGTGGAAGGCTTCCCTTGGCAAGTTCCTCACTAAATAGTTTCAGAAGAAACGGGGTATGCAATTCAAGATCCTCCATGCCAGTTGTGGGCAGGGAGTGGGATCAATTAACCATCTCTGCATTCACTACCCTATTGCACATGGCATCTACGTCTGCCTTCTGAAAACTAGGGCTTTCAATCGACCGAGTTTTGGTCCAATTTGACCTAATCCTATAGTAATCCATTAGAAGTTAATCCAGATACAATCTAATCAAAATCCGACTAGTTCTATTCATTTTAGTGCAAATGGGATTGGATTGGATCTGAGCTGATCCAAACTAATTGACACCTACTTAATGTAAAGCCAACCTGCAAAGAATTTCTTCAAAGCCACGAATTCCGACCAAGATGGAAAGATAAGCTTGAGAGAAGTTGATTGCCCATGAACCAAATTTGATGATATCCAATCCGATTCTATGATAATTAGAGGTATCTTTTGCAGGCTGTGTCCTGCTGGCACGCAGGCCTGAGTTAACTATGCCTGCCTGGCCCGGAACCCCTGAAAAGGAAAGCCTGGCACGAGCCAAGATGGGCTCGGGCCATGGGCAGCATGATTTTTTAGGAAATTTGAAAAAAATAATAATGAAAAAATTAAAATAGATTAACAAGATAAACAAGAAATTAAAATAAATTATATACGATATATGGACTATGCTGGGCTAGGCCTGGCATCCACTTGCTACAGTGACCAAGACTGAGTGGCTGAGTGGTGCTGGCGGCCTGGCCCGCTTAACCGCTTTACTGCTCTAATGATGGTCCACTGGTCCAATCCGATTTGATAAGCTTAATAGACCATCCAAATCTAATTTTATCAGATTGTTCCAACCCAAACCCAGTCCACTGACAGCCTTACTGAACTGCTGCCTCGGGCTGGGTAATGCCTAAATCAATGTTGGAGCTTCTGTCAGCCTGGTCCTTACCTTTTTGAGCAAGAGGAAAATGTGTTTGGAGGGTAAATCCCCTAGCTGTCGTTGATACAATCTGGGCTGAGGAATATGAAGCTCTTCAACAAGTGCAGGGAGATGAATGAGTTGATCAGTATTTTGGTGGGCAAGATTGGCTCCTGGGTTTCATTCCCGAATTTTCAGCCATCAGGATACCTTTCTGCTCCGAGTTTTTGGGACCTGTACTGTATTGAATGAAAGTATAACTACAATAATCCTGCCCAATGACAGTTTTCAGCCTGTTGTACTGTATTGAATGTTCTGCTTCCTCCCGAAGAAACCAAAAAAAAAAAGTATAACTACAATGATCCAGCCCAATGACAGTTTTCAGCCAAGATTTTGATAAAATTCAGATCCTTGACAGCTTGATAATTTTGAGGATATTTGTTTGATTGGGTCAACTGAGTCCCGAAGTTTAATGGGTTGACACTATAACAAAATGGAACTCTTTAATTCGTTTCATTTGTATTCTGTATCCAAAATTCCAAGCTGTTGTGTAGAGAGAGAGAGAGAGACAGAGAGATTCCTTATTAATATAAAATATACACTGGAAAACAGGCTAGGCATCCAAAATGCCCAAGCGCAGATGCATATATAAATACAAAATAAAAAAAAAATAAAAAAACACAGAAAAAAGGCCTCCAAAATGCGCAGGCATTGATGCATACATAAATACATGTAAAGAGAGAGAATCCTCTGCACAGTCTCTCCACTTGCATCTAATGAAAAATTGTCCACCTAACTTCAAGGTGGAAGAGAGACCATAAGAGCTTTTTCTTAAGCAATAAAGAAACAGCCTCTTCGCTCAACAATCCCGTAATTTAAGTATAAGGCAAACATGTATCATATCGATTAGCTTTAGAAATACTCATTGCAGATGAGCAAGTTGAGGCTGTTTGGTATGACCCAATACGGGGTCATGGCATACTCAAGGAGAACAAGGAGTGGGAAAACATCAGTTGTCAGTTTAGTTCTTGCCTGGGCTGATGTATCCTTCAACTTGATACTTCTGATATACTCTTAGCTGATTCTCTTCCCACCACTGCTCAGCTTCCTTCTGGCTAAACCGTTTCCGACTGCAGAGCACCAACCATGACAATATATTAGTTCGATGCAGTGGGTTTCAAGGGTCATAAGAATTTTTAATTGAAAAAGTAGACCCCAGAAAATCGATATGGTAGAGCTGTTAAATACAATCTATTTAGGCTCCTGATGCATGTGAATGGATTTGTAATTACTAATTAGGATGAAATGATTTCCTGAATTTAAAATTACCTAAACCTCACTCTCTTCAGTCCCTTGAGTCCACTTGGCAAAATCATGAATGTGATATATACACCAGGTTCATCTTGCTCTACCCATTCATTTTTCAATTGTTTCGTAGCATTTCGTCTGGAATCTGTCCTTGGTAAAGAGTTAGCTCCAGATCTAGTGCGAGTAGGACATAGATCTCTTTCGTGAGTACTAGATAATGCATTACAAAATGGATCAGGTGACCGACAGGTTTCTGCAAGTTCTCCAACTTCAGGGGGCAACCCAGAGGAAACAATTAGGTCAGTACTCTCAGCATGGATGGGTGGCGTACGTGGAAGATTCATATCAACTCCATCAACTACTACAGGGATTATATTTACTTCTCTTACAACTGAAAGTTTCTCTGACATGGTATGTAGCTGTACAATAGAGAAAAATGTTAGAAGATTTGTAATATGTGAATATAAGGTATGCGCACCATATAATAAGTTGGGGAATAATGCAATATCTCAATTGTACTAGTATGTATCAAATTCCCCACCAAATGAATTGTAAATAAAAATGAAGACATTAATTGACAGACATGCCCTGACTTCATTGCATGGTTTCAAATGTTGCTAATGTCGCCCGACATATGTCGATGTCGAGGCTCACCGACATGAAAGTGGATGGTAATATAAAAATTACATTATGTTGGTCGGAAATGTTGACCAAATCAGTCCAAATAAACAAAAAAATACAATTTTTCCTATTATGTCGACTAATGTACATTAAAAATATAATATATTAGTATATTATATTAATATAATACAGTATATTAATATAGATTATTCCATTAATAATTTCTATTTAATATTTCAAATAAAATATTTATAAAAAGAATTAACAAAATATAAAAACAAAAGAAT